TTTACTCTGATCGCGAATGCAAACACGCGAGAGCTCCAATACGGAGAGAGCGCCGGCGAGGATTCGCGTACGATCGAGCGCGGCAATAAATTCGGGAAAACGCGACTCTTCCGCGATCGTTATCGCGACGGCGCCGATAACGCACGCGCGCGTGTGCGCGGAGGAGTCCTCTGCAAAAACCGGCAGATCCTGACGCTCGATGAGCTTTTTATTTGCAAGTGAAATGCGCGGCGGCAGCGGGAGCAGCGTGGCGTGGATTTCAGGTGTTTCCTTTATTTTTCAACGCTCTCTTGTTAACACGCCGCGCCCGGACACACGTCAGCGACAGAGACCGCCTCAAACGCCGGGAATCACGATTTGTATCTCTCTCGTCCGTCTGCCCTTTCTCCTCTCCGAGCGCCTCCAGAAAAGAGGAAAAAAGCAACGAACGAAAGGAGTGAAAAACAAGCGAGGAAGAAAATGTCCAGACGCGCGCCTCGGTTCCGCTTCGAATTCGCCGGGCGAGTTCGCCGCGCCGCGGATCCGCGTTTCGCAAAGCGGCCACGTCGGAGGTGCCGCGGGGGAGCGCGAGCTAAAAATCGCGAATAATATCGCGCGCGCGTCGTGGGAATCGCGGCTGAATTAATTATAGCGACGTACTCGCCGCGTCGTCGCACGGACACGTTCCGATTACGCGAGCGTTTTAATGTGCGCGCCGATCGGTCGTGATAAGGTCGCGCCGCGCTGTGTGTGTGTGCGCGCAGCGGACAATACACGCGCGCACGCTGGGAATAAGAATTGCCACACACGCTGCTCCTTTTTTTTTTTGTTTCCTTCGCTCCTGCCGCCCTTCCATCCGGCGATTTCTCGCGTGCGCGAGTTACGGCTGTATGTCGGGAAACGGACTCACGGTTTCTCCCATACCGTCGTAATTGCTGCATCGGATTGGCCTAACAATTCAGGATACGCGGCCGATTGATTATCTCTCTCTCTCTCCCTGCACTCTCTGTCAGGTTCTCTTTCTCGCCGTTTTCCTCCTTCTTTGCTTCCGCCAGGTCGGCGCGAGTGGTTCGGCGGTCGCGACCAGAGTTTCCCTGCGTCGTGCGACTTAATTGTGGCGCGTTGCGAAACGCGCGCACGCGGAGGCGCGCGGCGAAATGCTCGCGGAAAGATTTACGAGCGAAAAACGGCGGCTGTGCAAAGAGCGCCCGCTCGCTCGCTCGCTCGATTTCCAGCCTCTCGGGGCGCGCGCGAATCGAAACGGAGAGATGCAATTAATGGACTTGTGATCGCGGCGCGCGCGATTCTCGTGTTCGTTACGTTCGCTCGCGAAGGGGAGACGGAGAGGCAGGGAGAAGAAGGAGTCATTCTTGCGCGATAGTAGGATTAAGCGCGAGATATATGTCGCTTGTCGCGAAAAGCGATTAGACGCGCCACTCTCTTGCCAGGGCCAGCGCTATTTCTGATACGTTATCGTCTCCTCGTATCGTTGTGTCCACGATGCGACTCGAAGCGTCGGGCGATTGCGAAATTTATACGTGGCACGTGATGAGGCTTACGAGGAGAATCGCGAGCGTACACGGCGGGGGTACACGACGATAACGACGTTACGCTCGCGAATGCACCGATATTTTCGCATACTTCGATGCCCATCGTCGAAAGCGAATTCGACGATGCGTGACGCGAGGTCGTCGTGAGCCTCGAAAGCAGCGCGACGACGTTACGTGAAAACGACGAACGTTTATTTTGCCAGTTTCGAAACAGCCTTGAAAAGACTTGAAAAGAAGGGACACTCGAGACTCCACCGAGCGTCGTAGTTATCGCGCCGGATCTTCCTCCTGCGTCGAAATTGTTTCTATAAAAGTGGTGTTTAAGCCACCACCAATTCCCTCGTGTCGCAAGACCTCGTATAATTTATTCCGCTAAAATTCTCGCCACGTGCGGGTTCGTGAGTCCACAAAGATAAGAGAACACGTAGCACCGAGCGCGTATCGCCGGGCGAGTCCCGCGCGCGATACGAAAAGTAAACGGATCGACCGGTAGCGATCTCGCGCGAAAAATACTTTCCACGGGAAACTTTTCGCCGCGGCGCTCGTGCGACGTTTCGCACGGATGTCCGGACGAGCCGCAGGATATCCGTTTTCTCACGCCGCTCTCTTGAGAGAGACGCGCGCTTGCGACGAAGACAAGCGACGAAGAAAGCACGACGAGAGCCGATACGCGCGAAAGGGCGGCGATACCAAATCCGGTTTCGGTTTCTCTCCCTCTCCTCCGTGCGCAAAGCGGCGTCCTGTTCGCGCTAAGGTGCCCACATTTCTACCCAGTCACCTGTGTAACGCAGGAAACTGCTTCCTGGTCGCCGGGGTAATGATCTTGACACGGGAGAGTGCAACGTTCCTCGCGAAACGGCCGCTTTTACGTCCGCTCTTGGCCGCGTAACGTAATCGCGACTTAAGCGAGCGATTGCGATTTAACGTCGGCGGGAATCTTCGATCGCGTCGACGCGCGCCTCGGGGCTAAGAAACTGGGTCAGCCGAGGTGAGATCTGAATGCAGCTACATTTCATGAGGAATTTATTATCGGGCGTATTGATGTCGTCCGCTGCGCTCACGCGCTGGACGCGATCAAATTTCTCGCAATTAATAATCCCGCTTCTCGCATCGTTTGATCCTCGCGGAGTCGAGGTAGAACGGGAAGAATGAAGGAAGCCCGCGGTGTGACTAGGAGAGGACTCGTATTCGTTCGTGGTGCGTTGCAAAAGTTTTGACGGTCGCAAAAATGGACTGAGCAATTTTGTGAAAAACGATTTATCCTGCTGAGGCGTCAATCGCCATTGTCTTGCTACTGTCTCTGGCACATTGCGTATTGCAAGTGCTGCCGTAAAAGCGGTGAAAATTTGTGCACACGCTCGGTAAACCGTCCTAAATTCTAAACACGAAGGACTCGGCCGTTCGGCCTCGCGTTCCGCTTGAAAGTCCCGAGTCGCGAGTAATTTTTCACGTTGTCTGGCATAACTACTGGCGCTGTGTGTAAAAAGTGCGCTCCGGGCTTTGCGCGTTCCACAACTCGGTTCGGCTATGGACCGAGAACATGAAGAGGAGCGCATCCGCCCTGAGAACCGCGTCGGTACTTAACCCGATTTAGGACAACGATAGCAGCCCTCGACCTCGCGCGAGGTTACCTCGTCGGAGGTTTCACCGCGATGAAGAGGATCGCATTTCACCGCACCGGAAGAAGCTCCGAAGCACTTGATGCACCTATGTGCACCTGAACGAACGAACGAACGAACGAACGAACGAACGAACGAACGAACGAATGAATGAACGAACGAACGAACGAACGAACGAACCAACGAGCGAACGCGCGTCCACGTCTTCACGTGCAGCCGCGCGCGATGGCGCTCGTTAATTCCCCGTTAACGCACGCTTCGTTATCCTCGTTAGCGGGAAGTACGCGAATGCAGATTTTACGCGGGTCTCTAACGAACTCAGCGGACCGGATACCTTCGATTCCGTGGCTCAAACTCTCGAGTGTCGAGCAGCCGCCTGCCTGTCTGCCTGCTGGTCTGCCTGCCGAGTGGGTGGAACTAATTCGGCGGAGAGCGCAGGACGTCGCAGGTGTTGGCGAGTACCCCAAAATCTTCTTCGTGTCGGTAAAACGCTCAAGTAACGAGAGAGAGAGAGAGAGAGAACGCGTCCGAGCTCGGAACGCAGGATGAACAACGTCCAAGTTTGACGCTGTTTCAGTGAGACGGATCGCCCGGCCGTGTAAACCGCAGAGCCGCGTTTCAACGCGTCGACACACAAAGTTTTAATTCAATCGATGATGGAGGAGGAGTGTACCTCCGTGTGCTCGAGATCGCACACAGTAGCATTGTCGTCTGACGTGCCGTCACGAGACGAGAGTCCAAGCAGCGCGCGGGCGCGAGAGCTGAAGAGACCCGACGAGTCGCAGAAGTGAAGAATTCGAGTGAGTAAATGGCTGATTCACGGCCTGTTCGCGTTTTACAATGGACGCTTCCTATGTATCCTCATGGTACAATAAGCGACACGGTGAGTGTTCATTCGCGGCGGGCCCCGTCGGATTTCTTTTCCTACGCCAACGGATGTCCTGCGTAACTCACACAGGCCGGGTTTTCCTCTTAATGCCCGCGACAGTCGGAATCCTGCCGCGGTCGGATTCGCCGGAAACGATTGCGCGCTCTCCTTTTCGAAACTCGTCTCTTCCGCTCGCGACGACATGCGACACGTTGCCCCTTCGAGCTCGCGCTAAACTTGACTTTAACGTAGGCGGGCGACTGATAACGCTGGAGACAAAGGGGGAATTCTCGGTGGCACATGAAATTTGATTTCGTCTCCTTCAGTCTCTTTGCGCGCGCGCGCGCGCGCGCGCACAGATCCGCATCGAATTTGCCGCGAATAATATGCGAATCACGTACCGTCGCGAACGCATAAATCTACTCCTTGATCGAAGCAACAGACTCTAATTATTAGGTTAGAACAAACGTTGTCCCGGAAGTAACCGATGATTTACCGCCATCTCCGCCATCACATGAAACAAACACACTAATATTTATCGAATGCAACGCTCCTTGCCTCTCTATCATTCTTTTTATCGTACCGTACCGAAAACGTGAATAGGATTTCTCGTCATTTTTTCCCTCGTAGCTGAGGAAGACAGATTGGCTGCTGAGGCAGGTTACCGCTAGCTCGTTACACAACAGACGACGCATGCTCAAAAATATATACCCTTCAGTGAAAAAGAGAGAAAGAAAATTGCAGACAAGCCATATTATAAACGCACAGTTTCACGATATCATTTCGCGTCACTCGCGAAAGCCACGAGCGACGAGCGCGCGATCTAAAAGCATATTCGACTCTTCCGCACAGGAGGAAAGGGCCACCGCAAATTTCTGCCGACGCTGTTTTCGCGACCGCGGCTCGAGATACTCCCTCCCTCCCTCCCCCCTCCCGCCTGCCCGCCCCCCGCGAACGAATAATTCCAGTCCAATTGATACTCACAATTAAGATGACTTGGCGACTGCTTCGAATTCGCTCTCGGAGTTTGTCGTCGGCTGTTCCGCTTCAGACTCGTCGATGGCGCATGGTAATTCGCACTGCGAGGGTCGAATAGACGTGCGGCCAACGCACCCTTAACACGCGACACGCACCCCGTCCGCCTTGCGCTCGCGGCTCGCGCGCATCGGATGTCGAGACGCACTTGGGAACGCTCCGGAATCTCTGCCTCTTCCTCTCGGCAGGTATTTCAGCTGGAGCTCTCGCGCGCTGAAGAATAAACACTCCGGCAGGTGTGTGATCCTCCTTCCTCCTTCTTTTCCCCCTCCCTCGTCTCTCTCTCTCTCTCTCTCTCTCTCTCTCTCTGTCTCTCTTGCCCTCTCTTTCTCTGCGCCTGGCGAGATGGAGAACGACACGAACGAACCGTCGGTCACGAAGGGTGGCGGTCGACTGAGGCTCCTCGGCGTGCACCAGCTCGGCGCACCTCCCGCGCTCGCAGGCTCAGGCTGCTGCGATCGCCGCGCGTTGAGTGCACGTGTGCTCGCGTGGGTGCCCGTGCACTTGCGCGTGCGAGCGTGCGTGCGTGTGTGTGCGTGTGTGAGCGCCGCGGGCACTCGCTCGCGCTCACTCGCGCATGGATGGTACTCGGGCTAATCAGCCGGCACTCGCGTCAATTCCTGCTGTTTCCTCGCGCCCGCGGAACTCCTCTCTCTCTCTCTCTCTCTCTCTCTCGCGGAGAGGTGCGTCGCGGTTGTTCCCCGGTCCCGGCCGCGATCACCACCGTCCTCCGCGCGCTCGGACGACGGCTTTGGCCGAGCGCGAATTCACGGTGGATTTGGGTTACGCTTTAGCGGCGCTTCGTCCGGCAGATTTCCGCGACCGCGGCCGGAGGAGGAAGTCCTTCGTTGATCCGTCGTGTAACCCTCGCGCGCGTTTGTGTCTCGTGGTGGTCTCGAGATGGTAGATGGTACTGTGCACTCGCAGATCGAGGTCAACGTGTCTGCGCCATGACTACGCAAACTGCAGGGTAGAGAGCGCGGATCCGTTCCTCCGCACGTCGCGATCTTCGGAAAAGCGAGACGCTCGGCTTAACTCGCTCTTACAACATCTCTCGCGTACAGCCGCGAGACACCGAGCGTCGCTCGCGCGGAAATGGCAAGAGGCGGCAGCGTGCTCACCGGTGAGATCTTGACACAGAGCAGCGCTTTGGACGCGTCATTTGACGCTGATATCGGCGCGAACTTATCTTACCGGTTCCGACGCGAGCGAGCTCCTTCTATCCGGTTTCTCCTGGAACGAGCGGCGAGGAAATCGTGAATGGGAGCTAATGAAAGCCGCTTCCGCGGCGACCCTCGTTATATTAGACGAAACGGCCGCGCGGGGAGGACGGCGGGCCGGCAGGGGTTTCGCTTCTCTTCTTCCTCTTATTTCTCTGTCAAACGAGTTCACGCGCGCGAGAATGACGTATTTTTTGCAATTAGATGCAATTAGGAGCTGAAAAAGGTAAAAGGAGCGATGTTTGTTTTTACATCGACGCGCCAGTCCCCTCTCGATCCAGTTGACACAGGCTAAGAAATTAAGTCAATATAGGCTTGGGGCAGGGGGAGGGGGCGGCTCGGACCATCTTACGCCTCAGTTAATTCAGTCCGCTTTGTGCGGCCCGCTAATCAGGCTTCACGTATACACACGCGCGCGTGAAAAGTTCGAAACGGTTCGGCCCAACGTCAGCGATTCGTCGTCTCGCAATTTTCGCCAGCAGGAGCTCTCGAATTTCCGTCTCAGCGGCAGGCGGTGGACCACGGATTTTTTCACCTTAATTCTCTTCCCCCTCCCCCTCCCCCCCCCCTACCGAGATTTCTGTCGATCATCGGTGCCAGGAAAATCCGGAGCGCGCCGCGAGCTCTCAACGCTTCGTTCTCTCTCTGAAACGCCGCCGCTGCTATCGCGAAATATTACAACGCGAGATTAAAGGACAGAAGATACGTTGAACTTCGCCACCGGCCCCGGCCATTTGTCGACCGGGACGTTCGTAATCTCGGCTGGGAAGTCCGGGAAGTTTTCAACGTAACTCCGCGGTCGCGGCGTATCCTTCGCTCGGTGTCTCGCTCTCGTGAAAGGTAAATTAAAAGAGCGACGGGGAGGACAAGGAGGAGGAAAACGCGAGGTACGCGTCGAATCTGACTGCACTTTCGCTCCGCGACGGAACCCGCGAGAGAACGTTGACGTTGCCGCGGATTAAGAGGAACACGGCGCGAGTGGGTCTCTCGCGCGTAATTTATGCGCCGGGCGCCAGCCTGCTCCGTCTTCCTTTTCGGAAGATACCGTTTTCGCCCATAAATCCGTCCATGCGTTCACGGGACCGCGCGCGCAGCCGTCGAATCGCGTCCGCGAGCCGTTTGATTCCCCCTCGCCGATAAATCACGCTTATTCGCGTGTCGGATTCGACGCGCGCCCTGTTAAGCGCTCTCGTATTTCAGGCATTAAAAGACCCAAGATTTGCGCGGGGATTCGCGAGACAGAGAGATCCATCGCGCGCGATGGAAGACGACGCGCATCGTTGCAGAGTTGCGAGCTCGCTCGAGTGAGCCGCCGCGCCGGCCGCGCCGTGGCGGATTTTATTCACTCACGACGAACGAAAGTCACAGTCGCGCTAATCGGCGAATTATCGGCTGCTTTCTCAGCGTCCTCAGCGCTGATTACTGCATTCGTTGAGTAGCGCGAACAACGTTGGACGCTTTGACAGCCTCGGTTGATATCCGAAAGTCGAGTGCGAGACAAAAGCCGGCGTTCTCGTTTGCACGCAAGCAACGAAATCGATCGCCTGAGGGCGATCGCGTCGGCGTGTCTCTCGCGAGATTACTCGTCGATAAACGCGCGCGTCATTTGTCAACGTCACAGCGGTCATAAAATATCGCGTTGTTTGCGCGTCGCCCGGCGAATAATTCGCAAATATCCGTACTTTCGCCCCCTCGCCTCGATCCTTTCGCCGCGCGGCTGCCGCGTCGCCGTCGCCGCCGTGAGTCTCTTTGTTTCTCCGACTGCAGCTCCGAGCCAGATGCTCGGCAACAATAACGCCTTTAATTACCGTACGCAATTAAAATCGTTTCCACGGGCGAGCTGGTCCCCCCCCCCCCGGCATTTGTGCGACGCTCGGCACCGAATGTCGCGCGTGGCTGCAACTAATGACAGGCGAAGAGTGAAAGAGCGCGCTGCCTGAATGAATAGACGGTTTGACGGCTCCGAGAGATCTCTGCCGATCTCTCCGTGAGATGACAAAAAATATTTCATCTTTTTGCGATTCATATCGCATCACGATCGATCAATAGCAAATGCCGAATTTTTAATAAATTTTTTAATATATATTTTTTAATAAATTTTTTAATATATACATGTAATATTTTAGTATTTACATATATATATATGTATATATATATATGTGTATATATATATATATATATATATAATTATCTATACTTTTATTTTTTATCTACAATTGTTTACTTTACGTTTGTTATCTGTTTTGAATATCGACTCGGTATTGACAGCCATTGTCGAGATTTTTCGAGCAAAGTACGTGCGAAACCTCGTACTTCGTACATGACTAAACTTCCAGCGTTTTCTATTTTTTAAATATGCAATTGGGGAGGGAAGGGGAGGCAGCTTTCTGTGACGATATATCACGCATCGAATTGTACACGTAACGCGTGTCATGACAAGAGTACTCGCGAATAATATGAACGTGTTCCGCGCAAGATGCCGAGGAAAATGGTGCTTGAATCGCGTCCGTACGTTGATTTTTCGCAGAAATACAGGCGTCCGAAGAGTTTAAAGTTTTCAAAGGCGCCGCGCGGTCCTTCGCTGGCAGCGCGCCTGATACATTGTAGTCCGACGCACCGTGCACTTGACACCTCCCGGTCCGAGGGCGCGCGCGAGCAAACGAACGAGCGATGCGCAACATTGTAGCGGCGGGCCTCAGTCCTCGTCGATTGTAAACGCCGCTCGTCCATATCTTCACGTAGAAGAGTCGCAACGACGTCGGACAAATTGCATTCGAAAGCCGGGAGCGTCCCGCTCCTGTGATTGAACGGTCGTTTCTCGTTTATTACTTTGAAAAGTTTAAAAGATTACGTTGAAAAATCGATTGACTTTTCCTCCAGTTGAGAATACGTCTGCGATGAAAAGCGTCACTTCGAGTTTGATTCGAGCGGATCGGGAAGAAATGAGAAACGAATTTCGTCAGACTACTATAATAAATTAATTGCAGTTGCATTTTGTACTTTTCGGTTTATGCTTACGTGATATATACGTGCTTTGACCGTTTAAATAGATTTGTTGCAATTTAATTTGTCGCCTCAGCGTCGATGTAGTTTCGCGATCTCGTGTTTACCTCGCTCAAATAAATCGCTGTGAATATATTCTTAAACATTACGAATCACATTGTGTGAATGGACATGCAATGACTTGCTGGCTCGATAATAATAGCTCACAATTGGATGACGAATTTTTGGCCGAAGTCTGACAGCGGTAGATGGGCTCTGAGCGTTGATTCCGTTATAACGTTTAACTTTCTTACATGGATCTCGACGTCCTCTTTAACTCGCGAGAGACTCGCCGCTAAAAGTACGGAAAACGTCATTTAACCTTATCATTTTGCATATACCGCTATTAACTGTTCTCTTATGCATAGCGCGCGGAAAAATACACGCATTCTCCGGTGAACGGGCGAGAAATGACAGAATTAGCAAGTATAATGCGAATAAAATTTTCTAATGGAAGATAGAGAGAGAGAGAGAGAGAGAGAGGGAGGGAGAGGGAGAGGGAGAGGGAGAGATGGAAAAGGGATTGCGGCGGGGATGTAATATTGCAGGAAGAATGGAAATGCAACACATCGCGGTGGGAATACGTGCGAGGAAAGTGTAATACCTCTCACGTATTTATCCTTACGTAACGGGTCCTTCCGTTGCGTTAAATTTTCGGTGTCAGTGTGTCATACATCGCCAAAATTCGTGACACGTTTCGCGCGACGAGGTCATGGCAAAAGAATTTGCATTAGTATACGTTACTCTTAGCGTAACGAAAAACAACCGGTGACGAATTTAACGTTGAATTTCACTTTTTCGACTTCCTCTCAATTTCAATATATAAGTGACGTACTAATTAAATGTGTAACTACTTTGGAGCGAATATTGCTATGGGCGGACATTAACAATCGAATAACGTCCAACGAGTAAATGAACAAATGAAACAACAAACAACTTCCTGCTTTCGTAATCTCTTTTAATAATAGCCTGTATCATGCAGCATCTCGTGATCCTCCGTTGATCCTTCAGGTCGAACGGTACTTGTATCCCGGTGAAACCCAGAGATCTCGATTTTCGAGGAATCTCACACTTTTGGTGTCCGCCGCGCGAAACAGCGCGCCTTCTCTGACGAATCGCCTGACGCCGCGATTTCTTCTCTGCCGCTTCGCTTCGCGAAACGCGTCCGTGAGATCGCGGACGATAATCCGTCGGGCAGTCCGTCACTGCGACCACCGCGTGAAACGCGAGGCACGAGCATCAACCTGCAGAAATATAACCGCTCGTATGAGCGCGGAGCGCGGCGGAAAATTCGCTCCTTCGCTCGTCGCAATCCGAACGCGCTTCCCTTTGACGTGCGTACGCGCGTCGTAATTTCTGATGCTCCGCGGCTAATCTGGCATGACCATAATATACGCGCGGCGAACGCATAACTGAAAGATGAAATATTCCCCGCGCGAAAGCGCCGGACCAGCGGTAATAACGCCGTAAACCGTTGAGTGCCGAGCGACAACTCAATATGTTTCTATCAGGCTCGCTTTTCTGCGTGCGCGCGCGTTGCCTCGCGTTAACATCAAAGCGACGCGCCTCATTTCAATGACGCCACACACACACATACACACACACACAACGCGTAAATCTGCCCCGAATCTTTTCCGCCGGTTCTCCCGCGGAATCGCCGCTGTCGCCGTGCATTCGGTTTGCGCGCAGCTGGCGGAATAATTCACCGCGTCGAGATGGAGTTACGTTCGCATGCCGATAACGCTTTGCTGCCAAGTCGGCGTTAATTGCGTTTAGGGTTTGCCCACAACATATAGTACGAGCGATACCGTAGGTAAAGCCTCCGGGGTTTTGCTAATTGGAGTCAAACCGTGCGCAAGCACCGGCGGTAAGCAGCGCTTCTCAACTGACGCGCGGAGGAAATCGATCGTGCGAGAGTGACACGTGTCTCAACGAGCTCTCGTAACCTCCTCGTAGTCTTCGTCGTCATAATTTCTTTCCTCCTGCGTCGTGAACAAAGAGAGACTCGGCAGAGACTTTGCAGAGACGTTGCGCACTCGCGAGTTCCAATCAACGTTTCTGTACCTCGTTCTCCCGCGACACAGATTCTCCTCCTCGTTCTTGTCCTGACGCGAAACTGACGCGGTACATTTAACGGGAGGCGATATTATCCCGAGAGAAGAAGACCTGCGAGACCGAGACACGTTCGATCGGAAATTCGTTTCTCCGATCAGGCGCGTCTCGCGAAAGGATTCGGAAATCCCGTCGTAATAATAAGAAAGAATCGACGTCCCGACGCCGCGCGCGCGCCGTGACCGTTCTTCACGGACAGATTAAGGAGCCCGGGACGAGCGACATAAAAAGCCCCGCGACTCTTTCCATCGACAGCGGCGAAAAAAGGAATGAAGAAGCTCGGCGGGGGAAAGAGCGAGGTGATCGAGAGGCTAAACGGGGGGGTATCTGCTCCCAACAGGCAGCGAGCACTGCTTTCTCAGCCGTAATATTGGAAGTTTACGAGGTTTGCCGTAATCGAATCTCGTTATACGGCCACGGAGGGCCTTTGGCAATCTGCTCGAGGGTCGACGCGACGCCGACGTCGTGCCGCGGAAATGCGAGTCTTACCAGAAGCGATGGACGATATAGAGTACGGCGGCGTTTCGAGCTGAATCGTCGCTTCCACTGAGAACAAAATGGAACCTCTCTCTCTCTCTCTCTCTCCCCCTCCCCTCTCTCTCTCTCTCTCGCTCCTGTCGAATTGTTAGTAGTGTAGAAACAAAAGGATACCTTATCCGACATCTCGACTGAATCGCGATCAGACACCGTGGCTAACGCATCAGCGTGTCAAAGAGATCGAAAGCGCGACGTGTTCCACGTATCGCGATTACATCGAGCTTAATATGTCGTCGCACAGCTAAGTAGAAACTGATTCTTGAGTTTCGGTCACACATACACACACACACACACACACACACACAGCGAGAGTGCTCGTAGCCGTGAGTTTCAAGGCGAGATAATGAGCGGAACGCAACGGTGGTTACATTACCTTCGCCTTGTGCCGGCTAATTAGTTTACGCGCGCATCGAGGAACTAATTATCCGTCCCGAATGGACTTTCGTTTACGATCAATTTCCAGCGTAAGGTGCAACGACCGTCTGGCGATATGCATATACAGCGGGAAAGTATAATCAGAGGTAGATTAATGCGCCTGATGCGCGCGAGCTTCTTTGGGCGAGCGATTTTGGACGTCACCTTTTGGAGAGTCCTTAATCGCTGTGACGTGTGCGCACCGTGAGTTTGCTCTTTCTTCTAAATATGCCAGGTGGGATACGGGATTGAACTAGTTTCTTATTTTTTGTGCGTCGCATCCTAGATATCTGCACTCGTGCTGAGGCACGAGTTCAGAGTGCCTGTGGGAACTCGCGAAGTGTAGCGAATGAAAAAGCGGCGGAGAAGTTATTGGCACACCGGATTAATTAGGCTCGCCGCGGCCGCCGAAAGTTTCGCCCATTATCGCGCAGAAGGGCTTGCAGCGGCGCTTTTTCAACGGCCGCTTTATTAATGGAAAATAATGCGCACGCCGCAATACCCCTGACCGGGAAGGAAAGGGGCGAGAAATTGGTTGCCCCTGGCCGTATATTGCATAATATGTGGGAACTAGGAGATGAAAGTCTATGGCTGTGCGATATGTCGTGATATGAGTTTATAAACAATGTAAGCAGAAATCGCGCGCGCGCGCGTAAGGAACGTTCATCGCGGTTCAGCTACGCGAGATAACGGTTTTCGCCGGATAGACGTCTTTGCGCACGATTAATAAATTATGTAAATCACTTTACGTTGCCCCCTCTCCCGTTACTCTCTTTTTTTTTTTACATTTCGGTCATTTGTCAACATGTTAGGTTCTGACACCTCCAGCACTAGAAATATTACAACCATTCTTAATTCCCATTCTCGTTTCGAGGCGACGAGTAAAAACTCGCGCGTTTTTATGATGATCTAAATTTTTATGGTAGTCAGTCAAGACGCTCGCGACGAGAGAATTCTCATCTCATCTCGTCGTCTTATCTGAATCTTACGGCTTTTTTCTCCGCGAGAATCATATAGTATTTTCCCCGGCCCGCTAGTGTAATGAAGGTATCGAGGTAAGAGCAGGGCAGCATCTCGCGAGGAGAACGTTCCATCATGAAAGTGGATTACTTTTATGCAATTTCGTTGCGTAGCCAGCCAGGTCTAAGACGTTACAGTTAGATCCGCGCTTTATCGTGAGGCGTATAAGAGGAGCGCCGCAAACGCTGAGGAGGACACGTAGTCTTGAGAATTTCTTCGCTCATTGTGATTCGCGAAAGGAATAAGGTCTCGTCCGCGCTCTTCCTGGTGCATCGCGGCGGAATTTCCCACACACCCAGTCGCCGGCCGCGGCCCAGTTTTGCATAACACAGGGACGAAGGAGCGCGCTCTCGGATGCCACAAGTTGAAACACGCCGTAGAGAGTAACGATAGAGAGAATCTTTGGAATTGGGTCTGTCGTCAAATACCGTCCGGCTTTTGCTTCTTGCAGCGTTACTTGTAATCATTCCATTCAATCCTCGAGTAAGGATGAGACCCTGAAATTCATCGTACACCTAAACTCATGTGCGTCCATTTTCTATGAATATGTCCGTATTTGTAAACATTTCATTAACTTGTCACATATGAGACAATATTAACGTAGATCGCGCATCAGCTGATATTCATTCACCTCAGTGATGTTTGACTCAGTGACGTCGGGAGTAATAACTATTAATTGTACGATCGCTCGTGGGACTTATCTTACTGAAAGACATCGCTACTATGCGAGCATATACTAGTAATACCGCGAATAATCCCTTGCGCGATCAGGAGACAAGACCCTTTCGGCAAACATTCCTCTCAAGACTGAGCCGCAATTAATCAAATCTCATTCTTTGGAAACAATCACCGTCGTAGCTTGAGAAAATACCGCGAGTGATGTTTCTCGAACGAAATGCAATATCCGCTGAGGCACACGAGACTCGGGGATTGGCGGCGAAATTCGCCCCTGCCAACTGCACGGAATTATCCACGCGAGCGTAACGCAGTTCCGTTTACTGCATCCGGTAACGTCGTCGTAAATGTCCTATGGGTGTCTTGAAGCGCAAATAGAGAATTAGTGAGAGGACTTGACAAGAGACTCTAAAGTATTCGTTGTCGACTGACTGAACGCTCGTCTAAATATTGATTGGGTGCGAGAGCGCTTAAAATTAATAAGAAATTAATAAGAATTAAAATTAATAAGAAAGAAAAGAAAGCTTAAAATTAATAATTGATAAGAAAAAAAGAAAGTACGTACTATTAAATTTTAACAATCGGAAGCTTCACGGTGTATAAAAGCACGCGGTGAATATTACAGCAACAAGCACTGTATAGAATAATGTAATATATTATTGATATTATTACACGGCGAACGTTAAATAATTAAATAACGTTAAACAAGTAAATAACGTAACGGTATTAAGTAATAAAAAATCGTTCTGCTTTGACGTGCGTGCCGGTGGTCACGCGACCTTCGTAATCACGACGAAAGAATACTACGCGACTTAATTAAAATCGTTATAACAGTCCTTGATCAAGGTGAACACATAGATCGGGCGATATTTTATTTTCCTAGTAACACTCAAGATATGGGAAGTAATCATTTTTAATAAAGAACTTAATTGAACGATCGCACGTAATGTTTGTCACTGAAGGATGTTGTTTTAATTACGTTGAAACCCCGTAACATTCTTGTTGTCAAGATGACACTTTCTCAACAAGTATTCCTTTCAACTAAAACGCAATTAATCAAATCCCATTCTTTTACAATAATTACCGTCGTAACTTAAGTATAGCGTCGCATGCTGCTTCTAATTTCTCTAAATTGTGTGATCGGGACACTCTTTCTAAGTGTCCAGGATGGCTAAACACACAAATAAAATATATAATATACTAGATTATTTTGTAGGGAAATTATAGCACGTAATGAGAAAAGTGCTTATTTTAATTTCGTATTTTATTGGTAAAATATATAATATCTTACGTTTTTATTTTCACGGGTAGTGTTTGCTCCATTTTTTCCCATGTTACATATACAGTAATAACCGCTACAGGCCGCGTAAATTCTCGCGTCACTTTTGACTTACCAATCTGCTTAATAATTTCAAAAAGACATACTTTTATATATCTATAAAAATTTTATTTAACGTATCCGTACTCGTACCGAAATAATGTTGTCAGTTATAAAAGAATGGATATGTGCATGTTTTTTTTTAAATCAAATGTTACAAGTTCAAGAGCTACTAAAAATCTTTAAGAGCGGACAAAGTCGCCCATGACAGCATCAGGTATCCCAAAGTTACCATGCTGATCGACACTGTATTGGCGTTGTTACAAAGATTCTCGGTGCACATTTTACACTTCATATTTTCCTCGCACTGGAAGTTGGAAGGAGCACATCCACGCACGATAACATCGTGGTCACCAATTTCTAAACAAAAAAAATATGATTTATTAATATTTATCTTGTTTGTTGATACGCAAGCGGAATGCGTCTAAGATGTAAAACAGTAAGACATTAATGTACAGTAATAAATGTACAGTAATAAATGTATACATAAATGTAATGTACATTCTCTCTCTCTCTCTCTCTCTCTCTCTCTCTCTCTCTCTCTCTCTCTCTCTCTCTCTCTCTCTCTCTCTCTCTCTCTCTCTCTCTCTCTCTCTCTCTCTCTCTCTCTCTCTCTCTCTCTCTCTCTCTCTCTCTCTCTCTCTGTTGAAGCAATTTCTTGATTTATTGCAAAAGAGCCGCGTATTTTTATACATGGATTATTTTAATGATATGTCGCTTTGCTAATTTTTTCCATGTTGCAGTAGAAAGTTGATTCAAACTCAATCTTGTCGTTTTAATGACAAGATAGATTATTTCAAAGAGAAACTGGAACTCTTATGTTTATAATAGATATGATGTTTTATGATAATAAATACAATAGAATATTAAAACAGAATTGTGGAGCAATAAGGATACTCACTGCTTTCAATTGTGATACAAGTCGATGTTATTTCATCAGCATACGTTCTCGGTTTACCAGAAAGTATGCTTCTGCGTACTCTATTAAAGCTCGATAAATCTGAAAAAACAATGAGTACATCCCAGATATTATATATTTCGCACAGATTTTCCCTAATAATAAGATTTATATAAGCCAGCGTAATAGCTTTAATAATTTTTACATGTAGAACTTTTCGATCATATTTTATTCTGAATATATACTTGTGCAACTTTAAATTATTATGTAACTGATTTAATTAATATGTGCCAATGTTATAAAGGAGAAGTTACTTTTTCAACGTACAAAGTGACATAAATTAACAGAAAAGCAAATCCGATTAAAAATTTAGTTTAATATCAAATAAATTATTTTTCACGTGGACTTACGTTTTCTACCCGATGAAATTTTTCTTGCAAACTGATTGTTTTCTTCACTCTGTTTTTCCCCTTCATCCCCCTTGTCTGAATCATTCTTAGTGGTGATTGTGGACTTGGTGGCGGTGGTGGTTGTGGGCTTGGTGGCGGTGGTGGTTGTGGGCTTGGTGGCGGTGGTGGTTGTGGACTTGGTGGCGGTGGTGGTTGTGGGCTCGGTGGTGGTGGTTGTGGGCTCGGTGGTGGTGGTGGTTGTAGGCTCGGTGGTGGTGGTGGTTGCGGGCTCGGTGGTGGTGGTTGTGGGCTCGGTGGTGGTGGTGGTTGCGGGCTCGGTGGTGGTGGTTGTGGGCTCGGTGGTGGTGGTGGTTGTAGGCTCGGTGGTGGTGGTTGTTGTGGGCTCGGTGGTGGTGGTTGTGGGCTCGGTGGTGGTGGTTGTGGGCTCGGTGGTGGTGGTTGTGGGCTCGGTGGTGGTGGTGGTTGTAGGCTCGGTGGTGGTGGTGGTTGCGGGCTCGGTGGTGGTGGTTGTGGGCTCGGTGGTGGTGGTGGTTGCGGGCTCGGTGGTGGTGGTTGTGGGCTCGGTGGTGGTGGTGGTTGTAGGCTCGGTGGTGGTGGTGTTTGCGGGCTCGGTGGTGGTGGTTGTTGTGGGCTCGGTGGTGGTGGTTGTGGGCTCGGTGGTGGTGGTTGTGGGCTCGGTGGTGGTGGTTGTGGGCTCGGTGGTGTTGGTTGTGGGCTCGGTGGTGGTGGGTGTGGGCTCGGTGGTGTTGGTTGTGGGCTCGGTGGTGTTGGTTGTGGGCTCGGTGGCGGTGGTGGTTGTGGGCTCGGTGGTGTTGGTTGTGGGCTCGGTGGTGTTGGTTGTGGGCTCGGTGGCGGTGGTGGTTGTGGACTTGGTGGCGGTGGTGGTTGTGGACTTGGTGGTGATTGTGGGCTCGGTGGTGGTGGTGTTTGTGGGCTCGGTGGTGGTGGTGGTTGTGGGCTCGGTGGTGGTAGTGGTTGTGGGCTTGTTGGTGGTAGTACTTGTGGACCAATCTTCTTCTTCAGTAGTGGTAGTAATTCTTTCTGTTGTAGTCGTCCATACATTTGGACACTCTACGTCTTTATTTGGTGACTTGATACAAGATTCATCTTCTATCGAGTTACATGAATAACATTTCAATGCCTCCCCTGAAAAAAGGATAAAAGTAACAAAATAGAAAGAAATTACCTGTGCATGTGATTATATCAAAACGAAACGAATATATGCATATATTAAAGAAGGTTTTGTATAATTTCACTTACTTAATTACATATGGTTTTCCATTTTATCGATTCTACCTATTATATTACCTATGCAGTAACTAAGAACGACTATTATAACCACGATGCGAGTTTCACTAGTTTACAATTGAAAGTTTCTTTTTATTCTGAAGAACAATCGTCTCACTTGTGAAATAATTAGCGATTAAATAAATTATAAAAAATTCCTATTGGGTACCTGGGTAAACAATGGCGAGTTCGGTCATCACTAAGGTGATGATCACGTAGGGGAGATTTTGCTTCACCATCTTTAGTCCGGCTTGATTTACGTCGGATCGGAAACTGTCACTGTATCTCGAGAAGTCAGGGTATACTTTCCAGCGTTATCATCGATTTTCGTCATATAGCGCTAACTGTGTATTATCGCGTTGTATTATCGCAAGCACAGTCTCCATCAATGCTATCACCTTCACGACGCGATTAAGACGTGAAAAATGGATTATCAGGGATTCATCGCCCTTGGTACCTTGTCACGACTCTCCGTTACAAAGAGGAAAAGCGGCTTACGTACATCGTTTGCACGAATCAATTTTCGCATAATCGTTATACGCTAGATGTACGTGATACAAATTGACAAATTTAGATGTTTCATATTTCATTTTTTCGAAGAATTTAAATATACTCAAGATTCAAATCCTGTTGAAGTCTCTGCGAAATCGATTGAGCCTGCGACGTTCGTTTCGTTATTTATTGCATTATGGTTTCTCCGGACTTATCGCAGACGTTGTAATATTCTTCTTTTGATTAATTGTCAGAATGTTAATATTCGAGCACTTCGATCAACATGGCTGATATCCCGTCCGATCACTTACGCTGGGAAAATGCAAGCCCGTTGAATTTGACCGCTTTGTCAAAGTGGGCGTGGAATATTTAGTGGGTGTATTTTCTCGTTACACGTTTAGAGCTTGAAACTGAACTCTCCGAAGAATCCTTGGCACTCTAAGCAGCCGTTTCCACGGATGACCAAGCGTGACGTCGCGCCTCTCGGCCGACGCGCAGAGGAATATTTCAAGTTCAGTTACGAATTATAGTTAACGTTGCAAGGAGCACACGTTACCGTAACATCGACATTTTTCGCGCATTCAAGCGCGAAAACTGCGCGACCGTTAGTTTGACGCAACGTAACTCCCCGTCCGTCATCCCCGGCCGCGTCGTAATTAAAAGTATTATTAAAATCCGGGATTATTGGATATGCGGCACCCTTGCGTTGTCTCTCGATTCTTAATACTAGATATCCTCAGGATTAAAATCCTCAGGATTGAAATGTCTGTGAGATCGAACGAGTAGCAACACATTTCGTTGTGCATTGTTATTACCGGCCTGATTACAGGCGCTCCCATTTTCCCAGCGCAAAGCGATCGACCGCGGATAGCATCGGTCGTGATGATCGAAGCGACGCGATGACTCATAGTATGTATCTACAATATACCTACCACGGTGCGCAAATGAAAGCTGCATATATGTGCAAGACCCGCGGGAAAATCATTCGCGAGATAAGGTATCATCGCGGCAGCGATGATTAGAGATAGCGGCCGCGTTTCGTAGGATGACGATTCAACTCTTTGTTGTTAACTTTGCCCTTTTTTACGGAAGCGTTTCCCTTCGGGAGGATCTCCCGATCTTGATTTACGAGTCTATCGATCCGTCCGTCCGTCCGTGCAATTTTTCCTGACGAGATAAACGACGCTCGGTGTCGCGTCGATTCGCGTCGACGGTGCTGTTGACGGTGCCGACGAGGAAGTCCCAGAAGAGTGCGCGTGCCGACCATCTTGTCTCGGTCTCGTCTTGTCTCAATCGCCGTCTGGCTGATTCACGAGACAGCGAGTGAGAAATGATGATTAAGTAAGACAACCGAAATTAACGAACGTGCAATTGACCCAAAGACTTGTTTCTTGAAAATCTTTCGACCTGGACAACAGACGTCTGACTCGAAAGTTATCTTGCGTGTATTTCGACTTATCCAATTCTTCGGGCTTTAACGAGCGTTGCTTTCGAGATAAACCAGTTGAATCGCATCGCACCGCACAGCCGTGACCGATAGCTCGCCGATATCGAAACAGTTATTTGCAAAGCTCCGGAACGCTCCCCAAGGTGGGAAGCGTTCATCTTCCTTTCTTAAAAGAAACGAAATAATATTCACACATCGTGTCGGTGCATCCGACGAAGCAGAAAACCGATTCACTGAGCGTCGCCGCGCAACGCGCTACGAGGTAACACGACATGTTGGATCTCGCGGGTTCGAGCCCCGCCGAAGCGGCGAGAGATGGTGTGGTAATTGTTGCGAAGCCACATCCGAACGATACGCGTACCGAGCGAAACGCGCTGAAACGCGGGGAGCGATATTATGTCGTGAAAGGGGAGAAGCCTGTGCAGCCAGGGTGTTCGCCAGAGCGTGAAGGTATTCGCTTCCCACGCTTGAGCCGTGGAATAACAATGACGCTCATGGATACTCGCGCATCCTCGCCGGCTGCCCGCGGCCGGCGTCGCGGCGGCCTCGTATTCCGCGCCTCGCGTTGTTCCTTGAAATTCTGCCCGCTGTTTCGCCAAATCGGCTCTCTTTGATCGGCCAGTAGAACGCGACGCGGTGAGGCGATTTTTCTTGCGCTCCCTCTCCGCCCACGCTTCGTCGATTCCCCGCGCACGCACCGCGCGTTATCGATCCTCTCTCGTCGGCATGCAAATCGTGAACTTTAGCCGGCAGTCCGGCAGCCGCGGGATCGGTTTCTTCTCCCAAGGGAGAGATTTACTCGACTGAACGCGCGCGGAATATCTCGTACGCGTGCGAGAGAGAATGAGACTCAATCGCGAGATAATTTGCATAACTCGACGAATGGTTCCTCGACGATGAGTCATAATTGTCGCCGATTATTCGATGACGGCGCGTTCCTTTGTGTCTTGTCGCGGCCTCGTGATTTGTCAGAAACGCGGCTACCACGGATTTACGAAACAATTGACATATCGACGACGACGGTTGCACATCAGTGCGCCTTCATACGTGTCACGTACACAACGTAAAAAATTGCATCGATGAGATAAGGATATCTGATCGTTATCAGTGTGAGTGGCGATTTTATAGAATTATAAAGCATTGCCCATATGCTGCAACGCGACGCAGCGACCGTCGCTGATACATTTATTTATAACGTTGGCGAGCACGATGCATCTCACGCGCGCATTTATGCAGAGTGCGACGTTTCCGATGTTCCGCTGACTACACTTTCTTCGATGGATCAAAGTCGCTTGGATTTTGCGAGCGAGAGCGCGCCGCGCGCCGCGCGGAACGCGCTTTTGATCCAGCTTGAGTTCGTCGACTGCTTCGGACTTTCGTCGACTTTCGGAGAAAATGTATGAGCTAGAAGACGCGCTTCTCTCATATCTGCCGGAGATAAATTACGACGCGACATATATTGGAATGTTTACTTGCAAGGGGATTTTAATTAATATTTTATGATTAATTTAATTTATTTTATTTTATTTAATTATTAATTTAATTATTTTGCTACGATTCCTTCTGTGCCTATTAAAACCGCGAAACGTGAACGTACAAAGTCACACGGAGGACGATCGATCTCGGTCTTGCAGTTCCCGCTGTACGATTTGAAAATGCATCTCATGCATCGCACAATGCAGCGCTTATCGACAACGGCCGGTGCTCGGCAGATACTTGAACGTTATATCAGAACGTCGTGCTGCGATCAAAGTGCTTCGGCGCACAACTCGTAACCCTCGAGGGCGTGTCTCCCGGTAATTGCGCAATTGGTTCGCAATTGGTGCCGGCGAAAAGACACACGAATAATCGCTGATGTTCCGCCCGTCACAAAGTATTCTTGTCGCTTGAAGTCAACGACGAGATAAATTTCCTTATCGATTCGCCGAAGCCAAGCGCTGCACTCGCGCCAGGCGCGATAACCGACAGAAGCGGAAGACCTGTCAGCGAGCATTTGATTGATATCCGCCGTCGTGCACGCTCGTCGTGCATGCGTTCGCAAGTAGCGATGCGAAGACGCCGCGCACAGAATGGCGAAGTAAAGAAGGAAAGAGCGGGTGGAGTATGCGTGGGTGTATGCAGATGCACTCCGGGAAGCGCGAGTCGTATGAGGCATGTAGTCGTAGGCCGATGCGGCCGATTACAAGGAGGAAATGCCAGAATGCAACTCCGGCGAGACGAAAGCAAGCGCTGGGATCAAACCGACATTTCAGTCCCGCGTATCGCGGTGTCTGCCGTGTCGATGTTGGAGCTCGGCGACTGACCGCGTGTCAACAGGAGGTAAAGTTACGTACAATGGGTGCGCGCTGGCTGCGGAGTGGAGAGAGAGGCTCCTCTGACAAGGAGGAGAGATTTCCCGCGACACACGTCGCGCCGCGTCCGCTCGACGCAACGTCGTTGTAATTTTCGACGACATTCAGAAATGTCGCGTCGTGTCGCACGGACGTGCGACGAGAAACGACGATAAAAGTCGAGCGACAAACAAGCGACAATCTGTGCAACGCGTCAGATATTTCCCAGATACCACTTTTATTAACGCAATTACTTGTCGAGCAGCGCGCAAAGATTACATTTTGTTACGTCGTACGTTTAACAGTTTAACAGTGTCGAGTATGCGCGAATAACATGACGCAGAATAACATTTATGTATATAATCGCTCTCGAGATACGGAGCGCGAAGCTGCGACGGATCGAAACGGAGAGATTTCGCGGCTCTATGAAATTGTTTTCTCTTTTTCAGTTCAGCCGTGTGACGCGTCGCGTAGCGCGGAGAAGAAAAGGCATTTCGTTTTAAGAGCAATCTCATTGGACGACGAGAGGAGAATCTCATTTTTCCGCGCTCCGTTAATCCGCCCGACCGCGCGGCACAGGCGGACGTCCGAAGAGGAGACAGAACAAGCAGACCCAAACCAGTTGTGGACTAATCCTATAATCTCCCCGCGCTACTCGCGCACAATGCATTCCCTTAAATTAATATTAACCGTCCGTGCAGCGTCGTCGTGCCGCAATCGTTCCTATGTATCGCGAAAGCTTGAGATTCGCATCCCGTCGTCCTCCATACCGCTCTTATCCTGTTTTTGGTTTTGCAGTAGTAGTAGTCTTCGGCTGTAAGAAATAACATAACGAAAATTATTTTTGCGTTAAAGAAAATGACAGAGATGGGTAAGAGCTACCGAAGAAAGGGAGACAAAAATATCGGGATGAATAAACGCGTGACGATTAATCGGGGAGGGAGAATTTCTTTAAGTTGATTGCCGTTAA